CCCCAAAACCCCAAAACCCCAAAACCCCAAAACCCCGGAAATCTCTTCACCTGATAAATAATATAATAGTGATGAGAAGACAAAAAGATGTACCCCAAGATGGAAGAGACTTAAAACGGGCATTTAGATCGTTATCTTCTGCAATGAGCGCAAGAAATATAAAATCCAAGGCCCGTACAGGGCTACAAGCAGTAAATATTTCAAGTCAGTTCAGCAACCAAAGAGAAAGCAGTGGTAATAGGTATTGAAAATCAAGACTTTGTCTTGAAGAAATTCAGAAAAATAAGAAGACTGAAAACTATACTTCCAAGAGAAATAACAGTCTGTCTCTCAGGTCACTTGAACGAGAGAGGTATCTAGTGAAATCTAGAGGCCCAACTGGCAATAAAGAGGAAAACAAAGAAATGATAGAGATTGTACAAGAAAATTATGCGACTCTTAACCCTCGCACTCGAATCAATCTTCAGAATAATCGGTAAATTACTTAAAAACTTCATTAATCACTACCATAGACTAAATAGCTCGATCGACAGGCTTAGGAACTTAGCAGCTTTGCCTTTTGAGAAAGCCTCAAATGATTCAAAACTGTTTAAAGCAAAGTCCTCTTCACTAGCTTCAAACAAGAAAGAGGTGTATTTCACAATTGAATCTAAAGAAAAGAGATACAAAAATTTAGTCTCAAATGAAATACTCAAAGCCATCGGATGAGATAGCCCTCGCAAGGAGACTCTTCTCTTAAGAAAGCAGTATGGATTGTATATAAAAAGTAGGCCTGAGCAAAACTGACATAAGCAGCTTAATTTGAATGACCAAGCAAATGAATATACCAATAAATGAGATACGAATGTAAGGAAGTCAATGCAGACAATTCACAAATGGAATCCAGCCAGAAGTTCTATGGCTTCCAAGTAATCTTTTAGTGTACATACTTATAGATTCGCCAAGCACTCCAAGACACCCAAGGCGACTCAGCCTAGTATAGATAGCTTCAGCTCAAAAAGATGGAACAAAGTCAACAAATTTAAAAACAATAAAGATAAAGTAAATCTCAGTATGGATGAAAAAGATGCTCTTCACCAAAATTTGTGTCTTCCAAAGCAGTCAAAAGAGAACAAAAACTGCATTAACAACTTTGAAGTGATAAACATCTCAAAGCCATATAAGAAGAGAGAGTTAATGAGCTTCGCTACAGGTAAATTTCTTAACAAATTTTAGGAACTAAATAAATCTGAGTCAAAGCTATACAAACCTCAGAAAAATCAGATCATAAAAAGTATCTGAACTCCAGATCATGAAAAGAACCCTAGTGCATTGGCGAGACACAAGAAGGACGAAGCCGGACGTAATAACAAGATACAGGAGTTTGTCGACTCTGAGCTTCCTTTTGGTAATAAGTCACCAGGTTTTCCAGGAAATTTATCCATAAGAGAACAAGTTTGCATGAGGCCAAGAGTCAACACAGATTACAATACTGCCAGTCATGATAGTAACTCATGTTCTTATTTTTAGAGAACAAATGTACAATGAAATCTCTTGAGAAATAATATCGCTAAATGTCTTTCCAAAGTTAGGGGTAAAAAGACGACTGTTCCCATGAAGATCCATAATAAGCATAAGACATCATTCAGTGCAAGTAAGGGTCTTCATAAGCGAAAAAGAGTATTTTCAAAGAACGTCAGAATCGGAAGGAAACATAGCAATCAAAAGACGCTGACTTCTAAACTTGGGAGTCAGTATAAACCATTTTACTGAAATGCATCTAAGCCTAAGGTTGTCACAGTTCAGCTGACTCATGAGATAAATCCTAAAGTAGCAAGCAAATATTTGAAAAATGACAAAGACTTTTCTCCAAGAGTGAATAAATCAAAAGCAAAATTAATTTCAACCCAGATCCCTTGTCAGAAGCAATACGAGTCTCAGAATTTTGGGAGATTACCTAATGTAAAGATAGACCTTGCTGATGGCAGGTCTTCTCTAAGCGAGCCATTGAAATTAGAATCCGCTCCTTCTTCTAAAGCTCCCAAAGAAGGAGCTGGAAATAAATAAAATGACAATTTTAGACAAGCTGAGGGAAAAGCACCGGATGAAATCAAACCGTAATACAGTTGAGCATGAGAAGGACTCTGAACAAGAGAAAGCCCAGTGAAAGTCCTTTAATCAGACCCAATGCAAAATAAACTTAGACTTAATAGAAGTCGAAAGGGTATGTTTAACCAAGCCTTACCAGACACCTAGCATAAACACATTTGGAGGATCTTCCTCCAAGAAAGTTTCTTCTAAGGAACCTCAAAGACAAGCTAAAGTTGTAGTCAGCCAGGAGCGACTAGTGGGTGCGAGAATTAAATAGAATAATAAAATTAATTTTTCAAAACTGAAAAGCGCGGAAGGGGTTTTGGGGTTTTGGGGTTTTGGGGTTTTGGGG